GGACAGCTTGGGCGCTGTCTAGTGGGGCGCAGCGTGCACGTGTGTGCCAGTGTGTACGCCGGGGGGCGGATGTGTGCCTGGCCTCTCTCGAATGCGGCGCAGCCGTGCGGGCCGCGTGGATGTCCAAAGGGAGGCGAATCCCGCTGGTCCAGGACTCGACTGGGACACGCAGGGAATCTCCGCGCCGCCCGCTCGCCCTCCGGACCTTGCGGTCGATGCGCACAGCCTGGTCTACCCCGGCAGTCGGGCCTCTATAGCTGGCCACACTCTCTTTGACCCCAAAGCCGGAACTTCTCACTGCCGCAGCCGCCCCCCAAGTCCTCCACCTCGGCTGCTTACGCCGGCGAGGCGACCCAAAGTCCCACGGCTTCCGCGCTCCGGGCACCCGGCGCCCCGCCCAGGGTCCTGACTACTGCGTTCCCTGCCCGCCCCGCTCCAGTGCTGGAGGCCGGGGAGGAGGGTCCCCTGCCCGCCCACCCCACGTGCGGCCCGCGGCACTCACAGGTAGCTGCCGCTGGACAGGATAAGAAAGATCTGCGGGCAATAGACGGAGAGGAGCGCGCTGCGCGGCGACAGCAGGAGCATGGTGGGCCGGCGCTCCTGGCGGGGTTGGGCAGGCCCCGCGGGCAGGGCGCCCGGGTCAGCTGAGGCCGGGGTCTCCCCGAGGTAGGGTGGCGGCAGGGCGCGCTAGGGACCCTCGTGCGCGGGCCCCGGCGCAGTGGTCGCCCGGGCCCCGCCGCCAGGGCCGCGCATCGCGCTGGGGCTAGGGCTGCGGCGAGCGCTGGGGCTGGAGTGCCGTAAGGGGCAGCGGGCAGTGGGCAGCGGGTGCGCCTCGGCCGCCGTCTGGCCCTCCGTCCGTCGATCGATCGGAACCGGCTCTGTCGCTCGCTCTGGCTCACGTCTCCAAGTCTCCCGAGGCGCGCAGCTGCCATTGGACAGGCCACCCCTACATCCGCCTCCTCCGCGGGCGGGTTTTTTAAAGGAGAGGCTGACCCAAGCGTGCGGCGGGAGCCGCCCCCAGGGCTTGCCCAAACTGCTTTGGCTCGGAACCTCCCCCTACCCCCGCCTCAAGTTCAGCGAGCCACACAGCTCTGGCTGGCTCTAGAGGGTGCACCTTGGGGCGAGGCACCACGGGGTAACCGCGCGGGGGCGTGCGCTCCTCTTGGGGGCTGTGCTCTTAGCAATGTGTACTCGTGTGTGCACGCATGTGCCTCCATGTGCCTGTGTGTGCCTGCGGGAGCGCGGGCGCAGGTGTGTGTGCACAAATGCACCGTGTGTGCCGCACCACTGTCTGCTTACGCCCCTAGTTTTGGTGAGGCTGGCTGTGGGTCGCCCCACTCACTGCCACAGCCAGCCAGGCCCAGCCGGGCAGCGCTCACCTGTGCACTTGCTCACTGGTGTCTCTGCAGCATCTTGCCTCTGAGTCTCTTTGGAGGGGCTGCCAGTGGGAAGGCATCCCCAACAAGTGCACAGAGGCCCCCAACTCGGGCTTCCCCTTTGCTCTCCTTTGAGGAGTTGCTTGGGAGGTGTGCTGAAGAGCAGATTCACAAGGACACACTTTAATGAACAATCCTCCTTCTTCCAGTGATTTTTTTTAAAGCCTCAAACAGAGGTTTTGAGTCCCTGCTCCTATTGTCTGCCAAGCCTAGCTACCTCTGAACGTCCCTCCAGATGCAGTGTAGACCCTAGTGTAAGCTGGAGTGAAGGCACAAAGCAGGGACGATGACAAGAAAAGAGCAGTCGGTACAATATGGCCAGAGGTCCCAGGGGGAACCGCTGGCTTCCAGACCTGCTGTGGAGACATCCCCAGCCGCCTTCTGCACCTTCACCTCTCTGGATCCTGGGCTCTCAGGCCCCTCGAGAGCCGCCTGCTTCTCCCAGCCCCGAGAGCAGGGGGCAGGCATGAAGCAGGGCTGTCCCTGGGACTTCACGACCCCAGTTCCAGTGGGCAGAGAGTGCCCAGACTCCAGATGGCTCCTCACGGCCCTGGCGTGGCCTCCTCCAGGGCTGCAGCTTGGAGGATGCTCAGTCCAAAAGCGAAGGACTGTGACTCCCCAAAGCCATTGGAATTGCCCCACATCCAAGGCACGTCTGCTCTTGAGGCCCCGAGCCCCGAAGGGATTGCCAGGACGGAGTTCTCCATTCCTGCTCGTCTGGGAGCTCCGGAACCCCAGGGGCTGCGCATCTGCACTCGCACCCAGGCTGAGGGCACAGGTGTGCGTGGCAGCTGGGTGCACGCAGGTAGGAGGGGGAAGAGGCTCACTGTGCACATTTCATAAACACGCGCCCGCGGGTGTGAGCTGGCGGGCTGTGGTCGCCGAATAGCCGCCCAACACATTCAGTCTCTGATACGTGGTTGGAATTTCACGGCCCTACAATCCCCCCTCCTGGGATTCCGAGGCCCTGGAATACATCACCTGAAGGAGCCCCCAGGGTACCTGCAGGCTGTGACATCGTGCTCTTTAACAAGAAGAAGGGCTTGACTGGTGCACACAGGTGTTTATCAGGACACCCCCCACCCCAGGGCAAAGGCCCCCAGGCCTAGCCTCCACAGCACCCGGTGAAGAAGGTGCTACTGTTACCCCGTTTTTTGGATGAAGGTAGGTGGGCCAGGAGGTTAAAGAGCTCACCCAAGGCCACCAGGTGAGGAGTGAGGGGGAAGACTGACTCCAAACCTCATCCTTAACACACTGGGCTCCCAGGTCATTTAATGCTGTAGGTCACACCTGGGCCCCGCTGCCCCCTCCTCCCCACCTTGTGCAGCCAAGAAGCCATGGCTTGCAAAGAAAGCAGGCGCCATGACTCCACCATGGGGTGGCGGGGGCCATGGCGCTGCTGGTGGGGGGCGGCTGACCCTCCCCCTTCCCCGCCCTCTCCTTTGTAGATGCCCGGTGGCTCTCTGCTTTTCTGGATGTGGCTCCACAGTAGGGTCTGGAGACCACGTTCTTTCCTCTCCCCGCTAGGAGTGAGAGAGTCTGTGTTTTAGAGGGCACAGCAGAGGGAGGAGGTCCCCCTTCCAGGGCTCCTTGGTGGGGGCAGAGGGCAGAGCTAGGGCCACTGCCTGGCTCTCTTACCCACTCCCAGAGAGGCTGGCACAGGTGCCTGGGGGCACAGGTTGTCTCACTCACTGGGCTTTCTACTCAGACACTGGCCACCATTCTGTTCAGGATGGCCAGAGCTGGAATCCCATTTATAGAGGGGCCCGGGCGGCTCAAGAAAGAAGGGGGAAGGGGAACCTGCCCATGGCCATGTGGACCTCGGAGCCCTGGGAGCAGCCCTGAGAGCCCAGGTTGGGCACCATGTTCAGCTCCTTCTGCTGCCTGGAGGTGGGGAGGTGAGAGGTGGTCCACCGACCTCTTCCCACAAGCTGGGGGCAGGGGGTCTGTTCTCAGATGACTCCTGCTGAGGAATTGGTGCTAGGAAGTGTGATCAGTGATGGAGGCCAGAGCCAACTCCAGTCCCAGCTCCTCCACTTACTCTTGTGGGACAAGTGACTTGCCTCCTTTGCTGGGTTTCCTAAACCTTGAAACGAGAAGAGTAACAGCTTTTAACTCCAGGGTTGCCAGGAGGGGACAAGGCCTCGGTGCTGAGAACCAGGCAGCAGAGAGCCAGCCTCATTGGGGCTGCCCATTGCTTTAGAGGGCACGGGTGAGTAACTGCAGGGGCTGCTGGAGAGGCCTGAAAACAGCGCCTGGCTCCCCACCCCCACACCCCCCCAGATTCAACGCGCGCACGCTCACCTCCCATAAATAAATACCCAGGGACACAGCCTACACACAGACCCACGATAAACAAAGCCACCACTGGCCTCAGACACGCCCGCCCAGGCCTGCAGAGCCGAGGCTGCGACAGGGGGCTTCCAGCCCTGCCTCTGCAGCCACCGGCCTCACTCCCAGCAGGCTCTGGGCCTCAGTTTCTCCATCTGCAAAACGGCGGAGGGGGCGATGGACGGAGGTGCGAGGGGCAAAATGATTCTCAGGACCTGGGAAGCCGCGTCTCCGCCAGCGGCACCTGAACTGGGCCTTCCCCGTGGGCTGTTCACCGGCTTTGGCCGCGGCCGGGATCAGGCCTGCCTCCCAGCCGCTGGCGGCGCACAGTAGGCGCGCAGGGCGCCGTGGCGCGCGGGGCCGTGGGCGCCCCCGGCGAGGTGCACCGCACCCCCGTATGGTCACACACCCCCACCCCCACTTCGAGCGAGGCCGAGACAGATTCTGTCTAAAGGAGATCGCAGCTCAACAGGTAAGGACTCGGCTGGGTTCAGGAATGTGGAAATACGACTCGGAGCAGCTACTGCAGCGAGCAGCGAGCGCGGCCCGCCGGGCCAGGCGAGGGGGAGCGCAGCGAGAGGGGGCCGGGCCGAGGGCCCCGGGGCGGGCGGGGGCGCGGGGCCCGGACCGAGCCCGAGGCGGCCGAGCCAGGCGCGCGGCCCATCCCGAGCCAGCCGGACGAGTTGTCAAGGTAATTTCAACACGTCCGGGTGATGGATAGAGACGAAGGGCCGTGGCGGGTGCCCCGGCCTGCGCGCTCGCGGTCGGGGTGCGCGCCCCCCGCCCGCCCGGGCCTCCTCGGCTGCCCGATGCCCCCCGCCCCCCGCCCCGGCGCGCCCTCCAGGCAGCGAGCGCTCGGCCCGGGCTCGGCGCCCAGCGCAGCCCGGGGGAGGGAAGGCGCGTCCCACCCCCGGGGCCTAGAGCCCAAACAGGTGAAAGTACGCGCCGGGCACGCTCGCCGCTACCCGCGAGCCTGGCCGCGGCCGCCCGCGCGTCCTCCTCTCCCTCCTCCAGCCCTGGGCTGGGCGACCCTTGGGAGTACCCGCCGTTCAGGGGGCTCGGCTGCGTCTCTGCCGGGCCAGGCGAGGGTCCAACGCACACAGCCCAGACCCGGATCTCCGAGAGCCGCCTGAGCCCCCTGCCGTCCCCTGGTCCCCGCGAGGACCCCCTGGAGGCGGCTTCTGCTGGCTGCCCCAACCCTCGGCGGCGACCCCTGCCCACGGGGATACTCACCCAAGCTTCACGTACAGGACGCCAAAGCAGAGAAACACGTAGAAAATCCACTTGCGAAAGTTTCTGTGCATGATCCAGAGAGGGGGGCTGCGCCATAGACAGCGGCGGCCGGAGGGGACGCGCAGGCCAGGCGGGGAACGGGCAGGGGCGGGGGACTCTGGCGGACAGCTCTCAGCCGGCGCTGCGGCTCGGGCGGCCGGCGACGCGCGGGCACTCGGCGCGCGCTGCCACCATGGTGAGCCCGGGGCGCCGCCGCTGCCGCCGCCGCGTGCACCTGGGGGAGTGACCTGGGCGGGGGGCCTCAACCTCGGAGCCGGGCTGGGCAACCGCGGGGCCCTACGAGCGCCAGCCGGGGCCAGGGCCCGAGCGCAGCGGGCGGGCAGGCGCTGCCTCCACTGGGCGCAGCCGCCTGGGGCCGTGCGCGCCTCGCCGAGCGCCGCGGCGGCCAATGTGTCCGCACTTGTCGGCCTCCCAGGTGACTCGCGGCCCCGGCAAGCGAGCTGCGAGCAAGCGAGCGCGCCCCAGGTAGGAGGATCCGCCTCCCGCCCGCCCTCCTCGCTCGCCGCGCTCTCTCTCTCTTTCTCTCTCTCTCTCTGTCGATCCCTGGTTCTCCCCTCCCTTTTCTCCTCCCTCCCCCGTGGCACACAAACGCATCCACCCTCCGGACCCCCCTCCCCAAGCCAGCTCCCTTCCGATAGCCCTCCCGGGATTGGGCGGGGGAAGGGGGATTGGGTGCGCGATGGCGCGGGGGGGCGGGGGGGGGGGGCGTAGGGGAGGGTGCGGCTCTCAAGAGACACCTGCGGCGGGGCCGGCCGCTCCTCTGAGCCCGCGGGGGTGGGGGGCCGGGGAATGGCTGGTACAGGTCGCAGTGGCCACTTGGCTAGTGGGGGAGGGAGAGACCACCCACTCCCGTAGCCATTCTGGGCACGCTTCCCCTCCCCCTAGCAATTATCCACGAGGGGTCCTCCTGGGCCACACCCTTAGCCCAGGCGTCGCTGTGTCCCCCGAAGATTTCGATTGGAATCCTCCTCCCAGCATCCAGGGTCATCCCCACCTGTCAGCACTGCTTCCAGTGGCGCTAACTCAGAGTGGGGACAGGAAAGGGACAGACAGGCCTGGCTAGGTACAGGGGGATAACTCCAATGCCTTGGTCTGGGCACCCTTAAGGGGGCAGAGAGGAGGATGTTGAGGGGACTTCTCTGTCTTTGGGGGAGGCTCCTGGACCCCAGGGGTTCCCTGCCACCCCTCCCTGCCGGCCCCGGTCCCGCAGTCTGCGCGGTCTCCTCTGTCGTGCCAGGCTGGGAATTCACGTTCAGCGCCCAGAGCGCGAGGTCAGGACGGCCGCGGTGCCTCGCACACCCAGAGCCGTCTGGCTTCGCTCAGTCCGGAGCGAGTGGGCGCCCGAGCCCGGGAGACCCTGCTGCTCCGCCCAAGCCCTGGCTGTTCCGAGGGGGCGGGACGGTGACCGGCTGCCTCACTGCTGTCCTGGCAAAGCTCCTCTCTTGCTCCGCGGCTCGCTGCCCTGGACGCCTTGGAGCGTGCCACTCTTGAGCGAGCGGCTGAAACTGAGAAGCGCTCAGTCCCCAAGGACCAGCTAGGACCCGAGTCTCACTGGGGTGTGAGAATGTGTGCGGGAGCTGGGGGGAGGGGTGTTGACTCCAGCAACTCTTGGTCCAACCGAGCTAAACCCAGGCAGGGACTCAGAGCCTGCCTGCCTCCCTCCGTCCCCCGCAGTCCCGCCCGACCTCCTGCCCCTGATCCCCTCTTAATCCTTTCAAATCCCCTGAACCTTTGCCACGACCCGGGCGCGGGCCGGTCCTCGGCCCCTGGATCAGAGGCGGGGCCGGTGCAGCTGTGCGGAGCCGGGCGGATGGGGAGCGTTCCCAGATGAAAGGGACGTTGGAGATAATCACGGGCACGGAAATTGAGGCACAGAAAGAAGTGAAATGACAATAGCGGCCTCAGCCCCCGAGTGTCCCCCGCGCCTCTGAGTCCCCAGATGTCACCCCATTTCACGGAACGGGAAGCTGAACCCTAGAAACAAGAGGGTCCGGGTCGAGCCCTCACAGCCGGTGGCTGGAGCGGGGCTGGCTCGGGAATGGGGAGCCGCGGGAGGAGCTCGTGCGCGCGGGCGGATGCTGCCACCCGGTGGCGACACGGCGACGCTCGGACACGGGGACGTGTGCGCGCCAGGGCCGGGGGCGCGGGCTACTGGGCCACGCCAGACTGCGAGGCGGGCAGTGTCCCCGACTCTGGCACAGGTTCCAGGCGCCCCGCCGCCCCCCGCGCCCCACCGCCGCCAGCCTCAGTCTCTGCGTCGGTTCATGGGGCGAATCCTCAGGAGCGGTGGGGCCGTGGCAGGGCTCCGAAAACCACGACCGCAGTGGCCGCCTCCTCCTGGCTCCGGGGCTCCGCGCCTGCCCCAGCCCTCGGGCCGCGCGGACCCTGCCGCCCACTCGTCTGCTCCCGGGCCGGAGGTCGGGTTGGCTTCTGTACCAGCCGGGCGGGGTGGGGCCGGGAGAGGAGAGAGTTATGACCGGCGGACGGGACGCCTGGGTTGATTCACTGACTCGGCCAGCGACTCCGTGCCTCAGTTTCCCCAGAGAACCAGACGTAGGACCGCGCCTCTCCGGACGCAAAGGAACGGCCTCGCAGCATCGTGCTGCCCCCTGCCGGCCCCAGGAGGGAGGCGGCGTCCGGAGAAAGGTCCGCGGAGCAGACATTCCGGGGCCGGGTTCGAGCCCCGCGCGCGTGACCTCCTGCAAGTCGCTCCGCCGACGACGTCTGGTTTCTCGTCGGCGTCTGGAAGGGGATCTGAATGGCTCCAAGGCTGAGGAAAATCTGGGGCGGGGGTAAGAACTCTATGAATCCCCTCTCCCCGCGCCCGGGGCGCACACACACACACACACACAAAGACACAAACACACACCCACAGAGGCAGCAGGGCGGCTGTGCCCGAGGTTCCTACCCAGTCTGGGCCCCCAGGGCGGATTCCGGGCCTCCGAGGTCTGTGTACCCACACACAGATACACACACACGCCTCTTCCCTAAATGGGATTGCAGCTCCAGTCATCGTGAGCTGGATGGCCACCAGTGTCTGGCTCCAGGTGTCACGCATCTGTCTGGGTCGGGGAAGGATTGGGTGGGAGGAAGCAGAGGGGGGCTTCTGCCTGGGATCGGGCTCTGGTTCCCAATCAATATGGAAAGCTGCCCAAGCCCGGAGGGCAGGAATCTCCAGAGGCAGGGCACCCTGGGGACCCCAGATGGGTCTTAGGCCACCTTTGGGCTCAGTAGGGCTCAGCCACTTCTTGCCTTTGTGACCTTGGGCAAAGCTCTCAAACTCTGCACCTTGGGTCCCCTCATCTCCACATGGGGACAATAACAGCCCCTACACCCCATGGGGTTCTGACATTTGGATGCGTTAACCCATGTGAAAGTACTCAGACAGTGCCCAGCACAGGAAGGGGACTCAGTCAGTGCAGGTTCAGCCTGGCATGTTCTGGCCCCTGCCTGTCCCTCAGCCCCATCACATACAGGAGCCCCCTTGTTCTCTCCTCTCCATCTCCATTGTCTTTCCTTCTGTTACTTGAACACACCAAGCTAGTTCCTGCCCCAGGGACTTTGCACATGCTATTCCTTCTAGAGCAGTGCTCTTCCTCTGGATCTATCTGGCCCCAAAATAAACATCCCACATCAGAGGGGCCCTCACATTCCTCCCCCAAATATACTCATATTCTCTAATATAACACTCTGCTATGCCCTTTGTCACATTGAGGATGGTATGTCATTATTTGTTTCCTGAATGTCTACCACCAGCCTGTGAGCTCCATGGGGACCCTCTCCACGTCTGCAATGGTCCCTGCTCTATCCCCAAGGCATCAGATGGAACCTGGCATAAGTTAGTGCTCAATAAGCAGTTGTGGAATGAATGAAAGATTTTCCAGGAGCAGCTGGCATCCGGGACCTGCAGTATTGCAAGCTGTGCAGAGCAGGGACCTGACACTGGCTGCCATGAACCTTGAGTCTGAGCTGAGCCACCATCTCCAGCATCACCCACACCCCATTCTTGCTGCCTTTCTTCTGCCTCCTTCTTGCATCCTATGACTGGTTTCACTGACAAGCATCTCCTGGACCCCGCAATGCCTGCTTGGCTTTCACCGAGGGTGTATGGGGCCCTTTCTAGATAAGGAACAGTGCTTATCTATTGGATCTCACACAGCCTTGTGAAATGGTGCCACTAGACCCATTGCACAGATAAGGAAACTGAGGCAAGGAAGGAAGTGCTTGGCCAAGGTCAGACAGTTGGTGGAGCTGGGATTCGAACTCAGGCCCATCAGGCCCAGAGCTTTGGCTCCTTCTACTGTACGTCTCAGCCTCCAGGGAAGCAGGGCCTGTCCCTCATGGGATAGAGGATGCAGGGTAAACCATCCACAGCCTGCTGCCAGGAGCCCCCTGTTCCAGGTGGGACTCTGAATGTGGTGAGAGGTTAGAGGACAGGAGGCCAAGAGGCCAGTGCTGCTAGCACTGGGCCAACCCCAAGGGGAGTGAGGTGTGTGAGCAGGGCCTGGAAAGGAAGGGAGGTGCATGGGCGGAAGCCTAAATGGTCCCCCAAGATGTCCTGCCCTAATCCCAGGGACAGTGCGTATGATGAGATATCACACCTGTGATTCTGTTGGTTATGTGGCAAAAGATCAGTGGACTTTGAGTTCATCAAAAGGAGATTATCCTGGTGGGCCTGGCCTAATCGCATGAGCCCTTTAAAGGCAGAGAATTTTCTCTGGCTTGTGGCAAAAGGGGCAGTCAGAGAGCTTTGAGGCAGAAGAAGGATTTGACGTGACATTGCTAGCTTTGAAGACGGAGGGGACCTCATGCTGAGGAATTCAGACGGTGTATCGGAGCTGAGAGCAGCCCCTGGCTGACGGCCACAAGGAAATGGGGACCTCAGTCCTACAGCCCCAAGGACCTGAATTCTGCCACCAACCAGAATGAGACTGCCTTCTTCCCCGGGGCCTCCAAGTGAGATCTGGACCAGCTCATGCCTGGGTTTCCGCCTTGTGAGACTCTGAGCAGAGAACTCAGCCACACCTGCTGGACTTCGGACCCACAGAACTGCGAGAGAGCAGACGCACGTTGTTTTAAGCTGCTAAGTTCGTGGTGCTCTACACACCGCAATAGACAACTGATACAGCATGATGTGGACGTGCAGAGATAGGGGAGCAGAAATCCAAACAATGGAACAGCATGAGCAATGGCTGCTGGGCGCTGGGGAGGTCATGGAGCAGAGTAAAAAATGAGACCAGAAAGGGGAAGGGGCTCAGACCGAGAAGCCAGCATGTCAGGCTGAGGAGGGGGGACTTGACTTTATGGGCACCAGGGAGCTATGGAAGACCTTGGAGAGAGGGCCACCGGAGGTGATGGAGAGCAACTCCTAGGATCTCCCAGACCTATTTTCTCCAGCCTCCTGCGAAGGGGCCTGGGAACCTGCATGCTTAGTAAACACCCGTGTGGCTCTGGAGATCAGCACATTTGGGAAATGCTCTCTTTGGACAACTGTACACACAGTTGAAAGTTCTGAGTCCACATCCCA